TTCATGGTCGTCCTGGTGCCTTAAACCCTAAACCCCTAAACCCCTAAACCCCTAAACCGCTAAACCCCTAAACCCCTAAACCCTAAACCCTAAACCTAAACCCTAAACCTCTACACCCCTAAACCCTAAACTCTAAACCCCTAAACCGCTAAACCCCAAAATCCCTAAACCCCCAAAAACCCTAAACCTCTAAACCGTAAGCCCTAAACCCCTTGTTTGGCGACCTACGCCGGGTTGTGTGTGTCGGGATGAGGCTCTGAACTGAGGGTCTCGGGTGCTTGGTGTCAGGCTTAGCCTGCTTGGGAGTTTACGGTTTAGGGTTTAGAGTTTAGGGTTTGGAGATGCTTCCTTTTTGGTGGCATTAATTTGGTCTTCTTGAGTTTAGGGGCCTTTAGAACTGGGGTTCGAGGATGTTCCAGGTCGGTTCTTGATGGTTTTATGAACGACGTGTTGCAGTTGATGGAGTGCATGAATACTGCGGGTGCGCTGTTTTGGATTGATTCGGGGCCTCGGCCTCTTTGGTAAAGGGTCTAGGGTTAAGCCCGACCGAAGGCCGCAACAGATGCCGCATGCTAGGCCTCAGAAAACAAGGAAATCAAATCTGGACCCGGAGTGAAGGATTCTTATAACATGGGTCCTTGACCTACCCCTGATTTTCTGCAACTTTCAGGCCGCACTCGGGGTTCCTAGTCTTTGCATGCCTCCAGTTTGTGGAATAGGTGGCTTCACATGTTTTGGAGAGTTTTGCTGGTTACGGCTCTTCGGGGGGTCGTCTTGGAGTAGGGTTTCAGGCTTAGCAGGTGCATTCGGACTGGTGGGTTGAGGGTTTGGGGGGTGAGGGTTTACCTTGGCTCCCTTAAAAAAAAAGATTCCCGGAGGGCTTGGATATGCTCAGCTTCCGTGTTAGGCCGATCCCCAAAAGCCCTCAGTCCCAAACCGGAACCCCTTATATTATGAGGGACTTTTAACCCTCAACCGTAGGCCGATCGACCCTAAAGCCTGTCAAGCGGAAGCCTTCAGCTCTAAATTTACCTAAGCTCTACCATTCCCGAATCCCAAAACCCTACAGCTTCACGCCTAAACCCTAAACCCCCTAAACCCCCAAAGTAAAGCCAGGTGCCCGCAGAGGAGTGTCGAACTACGGAGCCACCTCCGACGCTGGGGACCTGCCGGACCTCACTGAGCAGCTGCCACTCGTCCCCTTCTTTCAGGGTTCTCTTTAAGGGTCCTCTTAGTAAAGGAACCCTAAACCCCTTCTTTAAGGGTCGTCTTTAGGGGAGATTAGGGATTTTTTAAGGAGTTCCCTTAAGGGTCCCTTTAAGGGAACCTTAAACCCTAAACCCGAAAGGGTTTCTCTAAGGGCTCTTTTGAGGAGTTCCCTCTTAAATGTTCCATTTCGGGTTTCTTGAGAGGCTCCTTGAGGAGTTCCTCCCTACCCCCGACCCTGGCCTCGACCCCACAACTTCTGTGTAGGAGCTTTTTGGGTTTAGGCTTTAGGGTTTAGGTTTAGGGTGCAGGGGTTTAGGGTTTAGGGGTTTGGGGGTTTAGGGTTTAGGGGTTTGGGGTTTAGGGTTTAGGGTTTGGGGTGGGTGGTGGGGGCAGGCGGGCGGGCAGGGCGGGTGGGGTGGGTGGGGTGAGGGTTTGGGGTCGTGATTGCGGCGTATACGCTTACTTTCACTCAGCGGAGACTCAACGGAGTTCTTGAACCCTACCCGAAGCCGCAGGTTTGTTGTGGGTTTTGGGCTTAGGCGGGTCTAGGTGTAGGGCTTGGGTTTAGGGTTTAGGTGCTCCCCAGCTGATCGGCAGAGTATGGGTTCAAAAAGAGCTTTTAGAGTTGAGGCTTGAAGCAAACCCAAAACCCGGTGCGGCCGATAAATCCGGTGAGCTCGAAGCCGAAGCTTTGTGGGCCAAGGAAAGCCAGTGGCATCTACGAGGACACCAGCTGGCTACTAGGATAAGCCAGGCCATTATATCCCCATGCCCTCAAAGTGTAGAGATTCACAGTTCACTCAGGTTAAAGCTTAGCCCATGCTAAAACTTAATGCATGCTACGGCTGTTATAGAAAGAGAAGAGAATGGTGCTCGCATTTGAAGAGTTCGAACTCCAATTCGCAGGAGTACCTGGCTTACCGGGATCGCTACCAGGAATGGCGCAAAGGAGGTGCTCTGGGAGCTCAAGGCACGACCGACTAGACGCTCCAGCAAGAGATGCGAAAAAGCTTTCAAGCCTGTATAGCCATAAAAAAACCTTACATGTGCAGAGATTTGCTTGAACCTTCCTCTGGGTTTTTGAAGGCCTGCAGGTAGGGTTACAAAAACGGGGTTCTATGGGATTCTGTCAGGCTCCATCAGGGAAGTTTCGTTGCGGGCTTACCATACGCAGTTGTGGGCGTCCGTACGGTTGGCTCCGGGTCCGAGGCTGCGGGCATGTGTGTGGTCTGTTTCCCAGAGGGTCCACAAAAACTACAATTATGGAATTAGGCCCCAAAAGACCATCCTGATTATGGCTTTGGGGGCTTACTTCCATAATAGTATCCTTATTATGGCTTTGGGGGCCTACTTCCATACTAGTAGTATATATGGACCGTCTTGGTCTTGTGTTCATGGCAATCTCCAGGTGAGCTCACGGCAGAGGCCTTGGAGCAGCAGCAACGTGGGGTGCACTTAAGGAGGCGGTTTTGGGTTTAGGGCCGTTTAGGGGGGTTTAGGGTTTAGGGTTTAGGGTGCCCTTAAGGAGGCGGTTTTGGGTTTAGGGCCCTTTAGGGGGTTTCGGGTTTAGGGTGTAGGGTGCACTTAAGGAGGCGGTTTTGGGTTTAGGGGGGTGCCGACTAGTAGCCCCACCTCCCTGAACCGGGATCTTGATGGGCATCCTCTTAACATGGTAGGAGCTTTAATCTTCATCGATTCGGGCTCAGGCTTACGACCTTACCGGGGCGGTTTGGTTTCCCCACGGTTCCCGATCGATGGCTCTGCAACTGCAAGGAAGACTTCAGAGCCTTCTCTCCTTGGGTCTCTTCGTAGTAGAGTAGGCAACCTGTACCCTTTTTTGGGGCGCCATAATCGCTATATCATCCCAAAGTTAAAGGTTAACCGTTATCTCCCGTAGGATACTGGACACGTAGGTTCTTGATCTGGAGTTTTGAACCTTTTGGAGCGGAAGCAACGAAGGGAATGTCAAGCTAGACTACCGAGGTCGGTGGTGGACCGCGGTGATCCGTATCGCTACTCGGTTTAGGTTTAGGATTCGGGGTTTCTGGTGGGTTTCGGGTTCGGGGCTTGGGACATATCAATGACTGGTCTCGGCTTGATTTGAGGGTTGAGGGGTCTCGGGTTCGGGGTGTAGCTTTGGGCGTGGAGCCTAAACCCTTGCCTTCTAAATTCGAGGGGGATTAGCAGAGGGGTTCTAATGGTCTTAAATAAGTTTAAGGTTCGGGGGGTACGTTATTTGCTATGCCGCAAGTACATCGGGACCACACAAGGAAGTGACTGCCAACTATTCTGCTCAGAACCCTATGTTACAGAACCTATATATCTTTGATGAGGATGTTTAGTAGATCTTGGGTTCGGGGTTTTGAGCTCCTAGAGAGGGCTTAGCTTGTGTTGCTCAGGGTGCATTCATGCCGGATCCTGGTTTTGGGCTTAAGCGGTACGGGAACGGTGGCGGGGTATGATATGTCGAAGACCCATCATACAGGAGCCTGTGAGTTCATGAGATTCCTTGCCACACGTGCTTCCGAGGTTTCGAATACTGGTATCCAACGGCCTCCATCTTTCGCATGCGCTTCACCTTGGCCTACTGGATTTCCGTGATGCCCCCTGGATGATGGAGGTTGTGAGAATCCGTTCAGGGACTTAGGCCGCGTGGCTGTAGGCACGTCGTGTTGCGGTAATCCGGTCTTTCCAGTGCAGGAGGGCGAGACGTTGCTCATGGCCAGTCAGCAACCCCTCTAAGCCCCCCTTATTAAACTGAGACAACTGCTTAGCAGCAATAGTCGTCGATCGTGTTTGCTTACCCCGTGTTGTCTATGAGGTATGTGTATCTGCTTAGCAGCAAGCTTTTAGAAACCGAGACATGTCTATCATGTGTTTACACTGTACCTTGGACATGTAAGGTCGGCAGTCATCTTAGCGTCCTAAACTTCAAACCAAATCTTGATGCCGGACTCACTCATACTCTTCATCCATACAAGAGCGGAATACTTCATATCTAGGCGACTGAGAGCCCAACGACCCTGCTGTGAGTTTTTACCTTAAACCTGGTGTACTGGACATCTAGGAGAGACACATGACTGCGCAACATCTGAGATCTGGACCCAAATTGATCGAAGTTTGGTTCAAGGGTCTGCCGCAGCATTGCATGGCAAGCCGAAATTCGAATGTTCAAGGTTGTTTGTTGAGTTACCCTAGAGTCCCTAGAGCCTGCGTCTAATGGAGGGGCCGGCCTTAATAATCAAAAAGGGGTTTTTGGGGCTCCTTGTTATGATTATAGTATAAGATACACCAAAACCTTCTTCGAATTACTAAGGCCCATCTATTAGAGGTTCCGGGATTTTCAGGCGCAGCTCAGGGCTTCAGCCTTCTCTCTGGCCGTCTCCAGGCCATCACCCTGAAGTCAAAGCTTGAAACGCTTTGGAATTCCGAAACACCCAGACATCTAAGGAAGCCTGGAGCCAAAAACAGGATAGCATCGTGACTCAAACTCACAGCCGTAGAATCGGCCCTAAGATGCCTCAGCCCCAAAGCTGTTTCCAATCGCCTTGAGGTTCCTCCTTGGCTCCATCTTCTTCTGTTTGGGCTCCGCGAACAAGCTCTTGGAAGCTTACGGCGGCAGAATCGTCCAGGCCGATCTTCATCACAGCTGGGGGTTTGGCCATTCGTGGTTTAGGATTTAAGTCTTTAACGGCCGAGCTCCACTTAAGCCTGTGTACAAAGGTCATTACATCTGCATTTGCCTTTGAGGCTTCTGTTCTTTCAACTGGGTCTTAGCGCCACGATTCTACGTTGGATCTTAGTATTTTAAGGTTTACGGCTTTGGTTTGGGCTGCGATTCCACGGCCAAGTTGCAGGTGTTCCAGTTTTTACTGCTCCCATGGCCCTGCTAACTCCTAAATTGCCTTAAATCCCTTAATGTAGGGGCCTGAATAGATAGAATATGGTTTTGAGGGGTTCCTTGTTCCTTATTATAGTTATAGTAGAANNCCCCCAAGCCCTATTCTAATTATTACATTTAAAACAGGCCCCTACATTCTCCCTAAGCCCGCCCCCACCTCCCGGCGAGGTGTGGCCGAACCTCCTGGGTGGTGTTGCCTACACCGTGGGCTGCTACCTCTCCTATGTCCAGCTGATCAACATGCCGACGAGGAGNNNNTTTACGGTTTAGGGTTTTTGGGTTTAGGGTTTAGGGTTTTTGGGGGTCTCTCTAGTCTCCTGTGAAGCAAATTCAGGATTTTCGTTTAGGCGTTTGCTTTCGGGCTTCAGCTGCTATGCTTAGCTTCGGCTCCTTCCGGATCTTCGGCTTCCTGCGGGTTTTAGGGCTGTTGGGGTGGGCCCGAGGGCTTCGGGGCTGCATAAAGCTTTATTTTCAAGCTTGGGGGGCTTGTTGTTTTTAGGGCTTCTGCGGTTCAGGTTTTTTTTTTGTTGGCTTTATGGTTTAGGCACGGGGGTTTAGGCAGACGCGGAGCCTTGGCTTAGGGCAGGATTAGGGTTTAGGGTTTAGGCTGATAAAGTTTAGGGTTTGCCGTCATTTGCAGCGGTTGGGTATTTCGGAGCTTGAAACCCTAAACCCTAAGGCTTCTGCAGACGGAAAAGAGGTCACTGCATTTAAAAGAAAAACCCTAAACCCAAACCCTAAACCCTAAAGGTTATTACGCGACCGAAATCAGGGCCACTTGCCTCGGACGGTAGACTTAAATTGGCCCTTTCTGAGTTTCTCAGCTTTGGGTTGATATGCAAGCAGGTTTCCATGATCCCTAAACTGGAAAGCCATATAGAAAGCCCATATAAGCTTAAGTGTGTAATTATTCTAGAACTCCGGAAGTCGGGGAGTTTGTATTCTCGAACTCCCTATGTCAGGGTCAGTATCCGTAAGCCCTGAACCCCAAGGCCCTAAACCCCTAAACCCCTAAACCCTAAACCCCTAAACCCTAAAAGCCAGAGTACCCCTGAACCCTGAACCTCAAGGCCTAAACCCTAAGCCTAAACCCTAAAAGCCAGAGTACCCCTAAACCCTGAACCTCAAGGCCTAAACCCTAAACCCTAAAAGCCAGAGCGTCCGCAGCCCCTGCGAGGAAGGCCGAGTCGCTAAGGTTGCTGTGCGCTGATTGGAACAAGGCGCAGAGGGTTCAGGGTTTAGGGGTTTAGGGGTTTGAGCTTAGGGTTTAGGGTTTGGGGGGATTGGGCAGGAGTTGATTGTAGCTCCAAGCCAGAGAGAAAAGCACAGGCTATCGGACCGTGTCGGATGCTTCAAGGGGCTCAGGCTATTCTAGAGATGGGGGATGCAGCATTCACAGACTCACGACTCGGCAAAGGTCGTGCATTTTTGTCGATTTTGAGGGTTGTTTTTAGTCCCAAGACCCCTGAAGCCTCAATGGCCACCTCGACGGTTTGAGGGCTGTTTAGGTTTTGAGGATCCCAGAGTTTTAGCATTGGGATGCTTCGGGTAGGCTGGCTCTCCCGAATTTACGAGTCTTTGTTATGATGAGATGAAACGGGTTCGGGTTCATGATGATCCCTAAACGCTAAACCCTAAACCGATGTACCAAACAAGGGGGACTACAGGGGAGTATTCTTACGACCGTTTAAGTCTCTCAGACCCTTTGGCAGGTGTCGGAGCGGGTGGATGTGCCTTCGACCATCGGAACTGTTGCCTTCTTGGCTGGGGCGCGCCTTGGATGCGAATGGCCTTATGAGCCTTTGGATTTTGGGGTTTGGAGGGTTGAGGGTTGAGGGAGCTGGAGTGAGTTTAAGGCTTAAGGGGTAAGGTGATTACGGGATGTGGGGTTTTGGGCATATCTGGGCTATAGATTTCCACCCTAAGGACGCCCGAGCACCCTTCTTAGTCCAAAATCGCGAGAGACTCGGAAGGCTTTGAAAGGAACATCGACTTCACAAAAGCTTCAGTATCTGATGTCGAACCATCTCTTCCCCAAGCCGTACCCCCGAAACCCTCAAAGTCCCAAGCCCTTACACCCTAAACAACTCCAAAAGGTCCACAATGCCAACTCCTCTCTTCACCTAAACCCCTAAACCCTAAACCCCTAAACCCTAAACCCCTAAACCCTAAACCCTAAACCCTAAACCCTAAACCCTAAACCCTAAACCACAATACAACTCGCCGAGGATCCTCTTTCAAATCGCCTGCGTGGCCGATGCAGCTGGCCTTTGCTGTGGAAGGGTGTCCCGAACCCTCCCGAAATCCTAAACCCTAAACCCCTAGACCCTAAACCCTAAACCCCTAAACCCTAAACCCCTAGACCCTAAACCCCTAGACCCTGAACCCCTAGACCCTAAACCCCTAGACCCCAAACCCTAAGCCCCTAGACCCCAAAACCCTCAACCCTGAAGTCTGAAACCCTGGACCTTAAAAGGGCCTAAAATGCCATTCTCATGGCGCGCAGGCATCGGCCTCAGTAGGTTTCAGGACCTGACACTCGAATCTCCAACGCCTGCTACAGGGACTGGAATACTTGACATCGAGCTTGGGGCATAGTGCAGTGTCATGATCAGAAGGAGTTTGCGATGGGGTACTATTACGACCCTTGAGTATTCTGAATTACTTTTCCGTCCGGTTCCTGTAGTTCAAAACGTAGCAGAACCGTACCACGAGGCATCTATACTACATAGTAAGTTCCAGACTCGATTTCAGTCGCCAACTCCGCTTGAAGCCTTGAACCGTAAACCCCGAAACTCTGCACCCCATCTGTTTCCAGAGGTAGGGTTTAGCGCGTCTTTGCCCAAACAGCAGAACACAAGAGCCTAAAAAGACGCGCGCGCCGAGTTCGCGGATGTTCCGACGCATGCTGATCTCTGGATTGGCCGTGGTCCCAGAGAGGGTTTGGATGGAGGGTTCGAGGTTTCGGCCGGATGTAGGATGTTGCGCAAGTAGATGTTTTGGGTTGAGGGTTCCGGATTGAAAAGGTTTTGGGGTTCCAGATGTAAAATGATCTGGTTTGGGATAGTTTTTTTAAAAACCAGTCCTTGGCTTCGGAGATGTTGGTGATCCGGGAGTTGTGGCTTGGTCTTGACATCTTGAGCAGCAGCGGTTTTCGATTTAGGCACTGTAGGATGAAGTGCTCAGAGAGTTGGAAGTCCAAGTCCTACTATAGACTTGTGAATATGTTGGTGCAATTAGCCCTTAAACTTAAAGCCCCTATGATTTTGCTATAGTCTGCACTGAAGCCTTAGGCCCTCATCCCGATTTATACCCGCCATTCTGCGACCACAGATGGCTACTATTCTCCGGACCCTGAAAGCTTCTTTGCCTGCCTGGTGATGTCTGCAGACATGAACCCAATCCGATTACAGAGGGTTTGGGGTGTAAGATAGGTGCCTTAATGATTAGAATAGGCCTTTGGGGTATATTCTACTATAAATATAACAAGGAGCCCCCAAAATAGTATAGGTAATGATTAAGGCCCCTACAGTAGAGTCTGCAGTGTCAAGGGTTTTGTTGCTGGGGTCGCCCGAACCACCAAGGCCTAGAGCCCCTGCTTCCACCTTGCTTCCGATTTCAGTATTTCTAAACCTCGCGAAATCCGAAGCCTTGATGATTCTTGAAGCCCCAACTTTCCGAAGACTCGAGAATCCTGAAACCACAGCCTGAAAGGTCTGCCCAACTTCATCGGGAGCCTGCTCTTCACGGTTGGCGGCGCAACCTGGCTTCGTCGGGTTCAGGTTTGGATGTCAACCGCCCAAACGCTCTACCGTTCCCCTAAACCCTAGACCCTAAAGCCCTAAACCCTAAATCCTAAACCCCTAAACCCTAAACCCTAAAATCCCCAAAACAGGGTTTTCTGTTCTCAGCCTGGTTCGTGTGGTCTCTCGTGCCTGTATCAGACTTGAGGTTTGCGAGATCCTTCTCAACAGAGGCTTGGCGGCAAAGCGGGCCCACTAGCGCATTTGAGATGTGGGGCTTTTGCCTTCAGAACTCAGAACCTCCAGCTCTAAGCTTTTCGAGATTTTCGAGCTGAAATCTGGGATGTTGGATGCATGTTGACCCTAAACCCTAAACCCCTAAACCCTAAACCCGATTCTGGCTGTGCGTGGCCACGTAAGCTTCAGACTGTCTGGCGTCACGCGGCAGAGAGGATGTGCAAGAGCTATTGCAGCTATGGGACGAAGGGCTTAGGGTCTGGGGTTGCGAGGTTTGGGGCTTGCAGTGTCCATGGCGCCTTGTAGTCGTTGTAGACATGTTGTTGCATGAGTGAAATCCACCACCTCAACCGCGAATCCCGAGCTTCCAAGGAACGGGGGGCGACAGCAATGCCGGAGATGACATTGCTTGGTGGCATCCCTGAACTTAGCCTTCCGTTACATTCCATTTTGGGTTCTTTGGGTTCGGGTACAGCTCCAGGCATTTGTTTTAAGGAGGTGAGGGCAACATACGCACAAACGCAGGGTCCTGCGAAGATGGTCCGTTCTGGTTGTCAAGAAATTTAGAAGGACATCGGCATACTGAGCACCCCAGACCCTGTCTTATATGCTACTGCCGCCTGTACAGCCTTCCTTGGCCCACTGAGCCCTGGCGGGTAGCAGTCTCTGGAAGTCCAGTATGCTTTAGTATTCTCGGGATTCAAGTTCGAGTTTTTATGAATAACAGCACTCCAAGGGATTATTAAGCATATTTCTTCGTTATGGTTCTAAGGGCATCAGCGCCCGATCCTTCTCAAGCCTCAAACCTAGATCTGCCCTTGTAGTACCTCATATTCTTGTTGAGCCGGTATCTGAAAAGAATCCCTGCGCCGCTGGAAACTTGAACCGATCCGGAAGCAAAGCCGCCTGAACTCGTCATTAACTAAGTCCGAAATTAACCTGCCCATGAACTGAACCTGAAACTTGAAATCCTGCATCCCTTTGAAGCCTTGCCTGCTGTGTGCGATGGCGATAGTAAATACTCAGGCAAATAGCTCGCTTAACGTAACTAGGAGCTTCAAGGTAATACACTCGCTGACTGCTCAGACACTTATATTTCACGGTTTATCCTGAAATATATCTTGTTCGCACGTGAACATTTTGCAACACTGAGGCTTGCGTCCTGGTTCACCCTCGTTGGCTCGGTTTGCTTCGTCGCGAGTGCCGGCAGTGCGCTCTACGTGCCCTGGCATCAGCCGTCTGCAGAAGCCCCAAAAACCCCAAACCTTGATGGGGCCAACTCCTGGATCTTGAGGGCCTAGCTTGAACGGCGGCAGCGCCTGGATTGCATGCCAACATTCCTTCGTGTTTGATTGCTGGGCTTGAGGCGCATGTTTGCGCAGAAAACATGCCCTTGGAGCTTGTGGCAAAGGTCAGATGCATGTTGAAGCAAGTGTCAGATCCGTTGTGTAAAAGAACTATCTCCTGCATACCTGTCTAGTTTCTAGAATGGTGAAAGAGGCTCACCACCTCCAAATTGGCGCTCGCGTCTGACTGATGTGAGCTGGCCGCGGAATGTGCATCTCTGTGTTCACGCAGTGTGTCGAGTTCGTGGAGCTTCTGAGTACCTACGAGGGGAGACCCACCCGCTGCATTCTCGTGCTGGCAGATGCAGTGGGTAGAGTTGGCTGTTGATCTGCTGACATGGTCGGCATTTTTGCAAAGTATTTGTGCACACCAGATGTGAGATTACATGTCTATCAGATTGACCCAATCTGCATTTCAGGGCTGCGTGGGGTGAGCTTGCCACCAAGTGTGCACTTCTCCGTGTTCGAGAATTGTGTTGACATCGCAAAGCGCTTGAGCACTTACGAGGGAAGCCCGCCGGCTGGCTGCCTTCTCGTGCTGGCGGATGCAGAACTCCTTTCAGCTTGCACTCGGCTGTCGATCAGAATCAGTGATTCAAGCCTTGTGCGCAAATTGATCACGGACGCTCGGCTTGAAGGCATCCTTCGCGACCTGTTCGTAACCGATGGCCACATGTTGATAGATGGCCAAAACAGTGAGATTTTGGCGGCACAGGGTCGCTGGTTTCTGGACATCTCTTTGAAAAGTCCACGTAAAGCCCCTCTTAAGCCGCTGTCGGCTGTGCATTCCACCTGTTGACGTAATCCGCTACCCAACTTCCTCATGCCCTGTCGGTCCTGGGTACATAATTGAGCGCTGCCCGCAGCCCTGGAGCTTGGAATCTCCAGAAACTGCGTGCCGTCCAGCATGATGGCCCAAGAGATCTGTAAAACCGAATCTGGAAACATGTTTTGTAGTTATTCGTTGGGAGATCAAATGAAGGACGAACGGGTGGTTTAAGCACGGCGGCCGGCATTGACGGAGCATGCATTGAACGGCTCACTTACAGAAAACAGGATTGCCTAATTCGCGCCATGGTGCCTTGTCTCCCAACAGAGAAGATAAGTGCGTCGGAGCTGCGGGTGGTGCATTTGCCCCCCAGTGTGCGCTTCTCCGTGTTTGAGAGATGTGTCGACATCGCAGAGCGCTTGCGAACGTACGAGGGGAAGCCCACTGGGTGCATTCTCGTTCTGGCAGATGAAGAACTTGCGTGCCGTCCTCTTTCGAACTTTGCTTCCAAGCTTGTGCACCAAAGCATTATAGACGACCAACTTGAAGGCTCCCTGCGAGAAGCGTTTGCAGCAGATGGTGGCATGTTGATTGATGGTCAAAGTGGTGAGATTTTGGAAACAAAGGTCAGGTTCCCCACACCACCTAAGCCTTGCTTCGTGTTGGAGGGTACTGGATCGCGACACAGCGAGGGTTTTGAAGTCGCATGCGTTGCAAGTTGCGTTGCCATCACTCGCTCCCAAGATGGCTATGTGACCATCTTCTCGTCAGAGCATCTTCAGTGTTCACCGGACGAGGCGAGGTGCTTTCGTGTGCGAGATGAGAATGAACAGGGGCCGCAGGGGCAGTTTGAAGTTGTCATACAGCGGACACCTCTTGTGCGTTTTGCTGCTAATGGAAAGATGGAGGTCCCAAAGCAAGCATCCGATGCATTAAGCTCACTAGAGGCACCGCTGCAAGTTGTTGCGTTTGTCGGACCTGGACGGACAGGCAAGTCTACGCTCGCAGGGAAAGTTGCTGGCAATGGTTCGCTCTTCCCAGCAGCGAGGGTACTGGACGCCGTGACAGATGGGATTGATGCTGTCGCCATCCAGAATCCCAGCACCGAGGGCACCCTGCTACTGCTGGACAGCGAGGGCTTCCATAATGTCTTTGCAAAATCCAGACCAAAGGTGGCAACACTGTGCTTGCTTCTTTCCAGTCAGATTGTGTTCGTAGACTACGACCGTTTCGATGACAACATGATGGCAAGCTTGGCCAGGCTGAGTGCATGTCGAGAGGTAATGATGCCAAGCGAAGCTTGTTCAGATAATTTGGACCCAGAGCCGCCAGAACTGGTGGTGGTTGTGAATGGGAGCCGCTTTCATGATCTCTACGATTCAGAGACGTTGGAGAAGGCTTTGTCCTCGGATGAGGGCAGCAGCAAAGATGTGCGGAAACACTTCCCTTGGCGCCATTTTGTCTCTATACCTAATTCAACTGCCACAGACTTCGAGACGCACATCTGTACATTGCAGACGATTGTGTTGCAGGCTCCGATGATGGTTACCGCAGGCATCGGCCTGCTCGGAAAATTTGAGCCAGCGAACAGGCTGCCTTTTGATGGGCACATGTTTCGCGACCTGGTCACCAAGTCAGTCGCGCTGATAAACACAACAGATTGTATCAAGCCACGAGAAGTTTACCAGAGTGTTTTGCACGAGCACAATAGCAGGTGCATACAACAAGTTCTCAATCTCTTCAAGGACCGGTGTCCTCTTGACGGGCCGTATCGACCCCGACTGCCGTATCTGCCAGAAGATGCCATGCGAGAGGCCGAGGCAGCAGCCATTGGCGCAGACGCCAAGCAAGAACTTAAGAAGATTCTGGATGATTACTATAAGAAGTGCGTTTGGCAGAACACCGCAAAAGGAGAGGCTATAGACCACGAGTCAGAAGACGAGAAGAAAGAGATCGAAGTTGGAGATCCAAAATATGAGAAGGTGAGCAGGTGGGGCAAGATAGTGGCGGGCAGTGGAGCCGGCGCTCTCTCTTCTTCTGCTGCTGCTTTACTATTTCCACCTGCGGTGCCCTTCGCAGCTTGTGGAGGTGCAGTTGCAGGCGGCACGATGGCCATGGTAGGAAAGGATCAGATCAACGTAACACAGAGGTATGAGATTTTGAAGCGGAAGAAATCTCGCAAAGTAAATAGGGGCATTGTGTATGGAAATTGGGAGCATGTGGAGTATGTGTACAGAACTTGGACCCAGGAGCTAGCCTGAACTAGACTCCGGAGGGCATGAGGGTGATGGAGTTTGCATCAATGCCGCCCCAGCTTTCGCGAGCTGCTTGCGATCGTAAAACAGCAGATGTTGGAATCCTCAGTGTGACGGAATTGAAACACCCGGCGCCCTACCAGTGACAGCTAGTAGAAGAAGCGAATTCCTCTCTCTTGTCTTGAGGCGCCCCACTGGCACCACACCCTGCTGATCGTGCCTATGGGCACCTTGGACTTGGATGGCAATGTCAGCATTTCTTTGGCTTTTATCCTGGTCCTGTCATCAAGGCGGACAAATCCTAGGCCTAGGTTGAGAAAGTGAAGCAGCAACATCGCTCAAGCACTCCAATCAGCCAGATTCGTGGCAGGGCTGCTCGGTGTAGTACTTGGCGGTGGTTACATGTTCGTGCAATTTACGGATCCATGTGCTAGCGCCGCTGCGGGCTTGCTTGCGGGTTCAGGCACCCAAGGGTTCAGGACATTGGCATTGGAGGTCTGGAAGTCGCGGTGGTGATGTCTGAGGGACTGAGTTCAGGCATTTTGATGTCATCTTCAGGTACGTGGTACAGTGGAAGGCTAGTAACTAGTACAATTATATATATATATACACACACACATAAATCAACATACATTATATAATGAAATTCTATGTAATATATATAATGTATAATGTAATATATTCGCCCCGCCCCCCCAATGTCCAAGGCGTCCCCTCTGCTAGGGAAGCTGAGCAACGAAAGCCCAAGCCAGATGAGGGTTTAGGGTTTAAGGAGACTGAGTTGAGTGAAGAGGTCAATAGCAAGAGATTTTCCCACAGGAACTCGACTCCACACTCGAAGGATCTCAGGTTAGGGAGCCGAAGCCCCAAGCCCTATATAAGCCGTTCTCCCACAACCACTGCGTAAGACTTCTCCCGGAAGTGTTCGGTCCAAGATCATAGGGTTTTAACCCTTGAGAAGCAGGCTACTTCATGGGCGCACTCCTCTTCGGGATCACGGCAATCTTGTTGCTCCTCCTGTGGTCGCTCGGCAGAGCTACGCTGAAGATGTATCGGGCTTGAAGGGCGCAGGGTGAGTCGCAGTGTGTCGGTTTTAACGGCGCTTTGGAAGTGCCTTCTGTTCACTGTGTTTTTACGGTACGTTTTTGGTTGCGGCCTTGTTGGCATCTTAGTGGTCCGGATTCAAGCATTAGCGTTCAGGCTTGGGAGATTAAGTCTTAAGAAATTTGGCGTTGGAGCTCAAAGTACAAGGTTTACAGGGTCTTTGCTCCGACTCGATCCACATATGCAACTGATCATTGTTGTAGTCAAGCCTGAAGTCAATATAGTGTGCTTCCTACAATTTGCAGTCTCAGATCGATACCCCGACGGTTGGTCACTAGGAAGTCTCACCGGACCGTCTCCCCTAAACCCTCTCTATTACACTGATCGTGTGCAGGCTGGCGTTTAGCCTGTCCCAAATCCTGTTCATCTTGAAGCCGTATGCAACTCTAAAGCCTTAGAGCCTCGAGTTCTACGCACACAAGAAACAGACCCATGCCAAGGGAAGCCAACGATTTTGGCCTGACTTTGCTGAACCAGCTCCTTGTCAGTGTGGTACAGTCAAAAATAAAGGTGCATGCGATTGGCGTGGTTTGCAGTGTGTTATCATGAATTTTTTGTTGCATCAGTCCAGAAGTGGCTTCCCAAGTGTTGCATCTATGGGTCAGGTTGAACGGTCTCGCCATGGTTTCTGCTTGCAGTTTAACCTGGATCTCTCAACGACAACTTCATGCTGTAGCCGTTCTATCAACATCATGACTTGTGGGATTCAGACTTCCACTCACGAAAAAGCCCGAACCTGTGAGGGGCGAGCCGCGTGGAGTTTCGAATTCATGGTCTATGGCCCGGAGGATCGAAACCAGCCACCTGTAAGAAAGCCTTCGTCACTA